CTATACTTTTTATGGGGTTCATAGAAACTATTTTGTGAAAGTTTTAAGAGGCTAGATTGTGACGTATGTAATCTCCCGTTATTGAAGTTGGGACTCATAATAGGCATGCCAAATGCCCTAACGAATATGATCCCAACTGTACGGCGAAAAAATCTTTTATTGTTGCCATTTATAAGTAAAGTTTATAATGTTATGTCCCCAGAATTGGGCCATTATTTTTTAATACTGAGTATCTTTTTTGCGTTAACTAACAAGCTTGGCTCTGTGATTGTTTCACTTTATTTTTTTTATTCACTATGTCTTTCTTTGGTATTTTGTTTTGCTATATTTCTTTTGACTTTTCTAATTACAACGTATTTACCAACTCAAATGCTAATGCGCCTTTGTTTTATAAAATATCAGTAACATGGTCTAATCATGAAGGTAGTATGTTATTATGGTGTTGGATCCTAAGGTTTTACCGTTTCCTTTTTTGTTATCTGGCTCAACCCTATAATATACCAAAACAAGCAAAAGGCGTAGAAAACAAAAATATTTCTTTTTTATTTTTGTCCAAAGGTCTCGACCAGCATGAGAGGGCAGTTTCGCTTATAGATGAACAGAAAATTTATAAACGTATTGCTTTATTTTTTCTATTTTTTTATTATCAACTTCCAATCCTTTTGTTCGAATTTCATTTGTTTGTACTAAATCACTTGCATAATCAAATTCTATTTTACAAGATTCTATATTAGCTATACATCCTCCTTGCATTTATGTGGGATATGTTGTAAGTTCGATTGGCTTTTGCTTATGTCTATCCAAAATAATAAACAGGCAGCAAAAAAGTTTGAAAAATATAAAAAAAAAATTCCATTTTTGGTAAAGCCAAAGAAGGGCTGAAGGCCGAAAATGGCTGGTCCACACACGAGAACCTCTCCCTATAGTCCAGTGCCCTTTGGGTCATTGGCCCATAAGGAGCAAGCTAAGAGTGTTGTTTGTAAACAAATACTATGTATTTTCATTTTAGTTGACCTGCAGCGCGAATACGGTAGTGTGGAAACAAATCCAATTTGGATCTTGACATGTTGGTATTTTTTAACACTAGGCATATTGCTAGGAAGTTGGTGGTCTTATCATGTATTAGGCTACGGCAGCTGGTGGTTTTGGGATCCAGTAAAAAATGCTTCTTTTATGCCTTGGGTATTAGCTACAGCTTGTATTCATTCAGTCATTTAACCTAATTTGAATTATTGGACCTTGTTTCTCAATATGATTACTTTTTTATGTTGTATTTTAGTAACTTTTTTCGTGCGGTCGGGATTGCTAGCTTCCGTTCATAGTTTTGCTACAAATTCTACACGAGGAATCTTTTTATGGTATTTTTTCCTTTTAATTATCAACATATCTTTTTTTGTTTTTTTCATAATGAAGCAGCAATCAAGTACTTTAGCTAGTTGGTGCATTATCTCTTCCATCATCAAACCAAGTTCCTACAATCTCAAATCCTGTAAACCAGATCTTGTGGCATTCGAGAAGCATTTTAATTACACACTCGTATCAATTCAATCGTTTAGTAAAGCTCATGGAGGGCACAGAAGGTCATGACAAAGTCATTGTATACAAAACAAGTGGAAAGCCTAAATAAAATAAGCTACCTTTTGCAAGTGACTTTAGTCCTATCCAGCGCAAATCGTTGGATCGGGCCAAAAGGAGCTAACTTCATTTCAATTAAATACATTCTTCTCCCGCTGGTTGAGACCTTCAGACCTCCAAAATATTTCTTTTTGTACGAGCTAATTTCATTTCAATTAAATACACTCTTCTCCTGCTGGTTGAGACCTTCAGACCTCCAAAATATTTATTTTTTTACGTATTTTTTAAAACAAGGAGCGAATATGAGAGAATAGACCGTATTCTCTAATCCGGAGAAAAAAAATAATGAAAACGAACAGAGCAGATGGTCCAACTATAGAATTTTTTATTTTTTATTATTTTTTTGGTTGTGTTTTGTGGCACAGCAGCACCCATACTAATTCAATGGTTGGTAACTGAAGATGTTTCCACAGGTGCTCCTTTTTTTAATGGTACTATAATACCTATTTTTACATCTCGATTACTAGTTTTAGTTTATATACATTCCAAGGGGTTCATCCGCTCTCTAGACAAAGCAAGAAGGATGGTTTTGATGAGAGCAAGGCCCATTTTATTACCCAACATAATTGAGAAAAACTCACCTAAAAAATCTAATATATTTTATTTTTTTTGATGAAAAATGCCTTGTCAATTTTTTCCTTTTTTCGTCAGTTTTTTTTTCCTTTTTTGCCAAGCAATCCCCGGCCCTTTGTTTTATGGGACAGTATTTTGGTTTTGTGGTGTCTCACAAAATAGTCCGGGACCCTCTCTGACAGTGCTCGGGTCCTGCGGGCCTTATTGTTGTTTTTTTATTTTATTATTATCAAATTAATGGGAGACTTTTCATATTTAGAATCTTTCTGTTGTGTACTTTTTTTTTCTTTTGTACATTCTTTTTATCATTTCATCATTGGTGCGATAGCTTAGCGAGGCACAGATTTTCTTTTTTTATTTTTCACAAGCAAAGAAGACGCGAGCTTATTATATCGTCACTGAGAAGAAATAACTTGAATTGGAGTACCGGTAGATGTTTTCTTGTTTGTGCCTTACCCAGTAGACTGATCACTATTGATCACGACTTTCGAAAAGCTCATGTTAATATGAAGATTTCACATGGAGGAGTTTGCATCTTTATTATGGGTGTAATTTTATCTAACGCAAAAAATATACAATTTACAGAGGAAACTCTTTGGATTCCGAACTACATATAGGAAAGATTTGTAACATTTTGTGAGGTATTCATGAATTACATGGATCTACTTTTCACTCCATTTGTGATAATTTAATTATTTATAAACTGTCCCTAAAAAACCCATTCATGTTTGAGCATGATGGATCACGTCCTGCCCTGTTGCAATCCCGGCCTACCGAAGGTGCAAACGTCTCGACCAACGGGAGAGGAAACCTTCTTTGGTCTGAAGGGCCAAAGACCAGAAATGGCATTAGGATTTCTGCACACTTCTTTGCCTTAACGAAAGAAAGGCTTTACAGTTCTTGAACATAATATTTTTTTCACATTGGGTTGACTATGTTCCCAAAAAAAAGATTATATTTTTCAAATCAAGAAACGAGCACTACCAAAGTGGTTATACATACCAATCTCTTTACGGATCTATATGCTTTGATTAAGACTGCAAGTTTTGAAACAGGATGGTATACGATAGTAACTGATCTTCCTTTTATTTTTTATATTTGGATAGGGTTCATTATGACTTCGTTGGGAGACTTGCTTAGTCTTTTCCGTAAGCTCACTTTTTACAGATTGGATTGGAATTAAAAATTCATTGTAGGGGTTGTTGTTTTTTCATATTTTAGATTTAGCTATGTTAAAAAACTAAAAAAATGTATCTGAATAAGAAAATCTACGAATAACCTAGTATTGCAAGAATGATTTTATTATGGATTTTGTCTTACCTAAGACCCCAATATATATATTTATCACATGTGTATAAGGAGCTTGCTCGGAAGAAAATTATAGATATATCCATTTATGTGGATTGTGCAAAGATGTTGTATTGTTTATTCTATTTTTAGGATATAGGGGCATAGGTCGTTGGTCGGTGCGAAATCATATCCATTTTTTTAGAATTCTATGAATGGATGGCTAAATTTCGCTATAGAATTTTGATATTGATGAGGTGTCCAATCTTATATCAAGAGAGTAGCATTACATAGATTTATTACTCCCCTTTTACAACATAAACCACATGGCGGGTATCTTCCATTGTGATGTTATTGGGGCCTAACCCCATCTATTTGGTTTCATCCATATATAACCATATGGGATCTTCCCATAAATTTTGCTATATTACTTGGTTTCACTCACTTTTATTTTGTTGACTGCCATAATGCAAGATTATATCATGCGGCCAATAATTAAGCAAAAATAAAGACTAGGTTATAAGGAGATCCAAGATACAAGGAGAGTCACTAAGAAAGGATGCAAGCTCTTTTCGGAAGTGGTAGTAAAAAGCCGAAATAAAAAAAAATGTCTTTCCTTGTCCGAGTCTGGCCTTATGCCCTATGGACGTTTAACCAAAGCAAAAATCAAGATTTTTGCTTTTGTCAAACGTGATTTGGGCGGCATGTAAGACCCATGGTTATACATATAGGATATAATGTAAGTATATCTAAATTGTGCCTAAGTTTATCTTAGTCATGACTATGTTTAGCTAGTTATGATTAAGTTGGAGGAAATTATAGAGTAACTTTTGGTGTGATAGATGAGAACTACTATTTTGTTCTTTAGTTGGAATCGCGAAACAGATTTCATCATATGGGTATCTTGACTTTCCTTGACTTGGACTAGTTTTCATTGGTTGGACTTGGTGAAGACCCTTAAATCTAAGGGCGAGATTGACTTGGCACACTAAAATCAATTGGAGGGTAGTTATGATTCTAAAAGATCCAAGTGGATCAATTGCATGTTGTCACGTACACTTTTCATTGGGGTTTGTGATCTCTATCTCATTTAAACTTTGTAAGAGAAAGTTACATCGTGATTACTTATAGTTACTAAGGTAAGATTCTAAGTAGTATAAATAGAGAGGTTGAGAAGCACCTTTCAAGTTAGTTTTGGGAGAAGTTAATTTTATGTTCTTAGTTCGGAGAGACCTTGTTTTGGGAAGTTTGATTTTGAGAAGTCATATTAAGGTTGGAGCCTTCATTCAATGAAGATTTTTGATCATCAAAGTATCCTTCCTTTTAAGTGATATCTTACACTTTGTGAGAATTTGCATTATGGAGTTTAGAATTTAAGAGTTTGTGTGAGAGTGTGCATTAGGATCATGGTACTAGGGTGAGAACAAGTCCTTTTAGATTCATGATGAGCTTCTAAAAAGCCATCAAAGGTAAACCTGAATGAGAGTCATCCCGGAGGTCACATGCATGGAATATAAGGATTCGAACCTTTGTTTCTAGGCATTAAAGATCGATGCCTTAGCACTTGACTATACTCCAAAAAGATCATAAATCAACCTTACACAATAATGAAATCACTTCACATAGCGTTATCGGTGCATTAGAAAATGGTTAATCACTTTGCGCTCTATATTTTCTTATTTTGGACTTCGTCTTGTAAGACCCAAGGTTGTACATATAGGATAAAATATAAGTATATCTAAATTGTGACTAAGTTTATCTTAGTCATGACTATGTTTAACTAGTTATAGTTAAGTTGGAGGAAAATATAGAGTAACTTTTGGTGTGGTAGATGAGAACTTCTATTTTGTTGTTTAGTAGGAATCAAGATTCCATCACATGGATATCTTGAATTTCCTTGACTTGGACTAGTTTTCATTGGTTGGACTTGATGAAGACCCTTAAATCTAGGGACAAAATTTACTTGGTACACTAAAGTCAATTAGAGAGTAGTTGGGCTTCTAGAAGATCCAAGTGGACCAATTGCATGTTGTCATGTACTCTTTTCATTGGGATTTATGATCTCTACCTTGTTTAAACTTGGTAAGAGAAAGTTACATGGTGATTACTTGTTGTTCCTATGATAAGATTCTAAATAGTATAAATAGAGAGGTTGAGAAGCACCTCTAAAGTTAGTTTTCAAGGAACTTATTTTTCAAGGAACTTAGTTTTGGGAGAAGTTAGTTTTGTGATCTTAGTTTTGGAGAGCCCTTGTTTTGGGAAGCTTGGTTTTTCGAGGAATCATGTTCGGGTTGGAGCCTTGAATCAATGAAGACTTTGATCATCAAAGTATCCCTTCCTTTTGAGTGATATCTTACTCTTTGTGAGAATTTGAGAGTTTGTGTGAGAGTGTGCATTAGGGTCATGGTCCTAGGGTGGGAACAAGTCCTTTTAGATTCATGATGAGCTTCCAAAAAACCATCGAAGGTAATTTTGAGTGAGAGTCAGTCCGGAGGTCACAGTCCAAACATACCCTTTTTTGTCAGACAAAAAAAATGACCCTATGGGGACCTAGGAAAAAAGGGTTTCAGTTACTTATTCTTTTATTATATGGAAAAGAACTATCAACTATAATCAATCATATGTATATACTAAAAGCAGCTGAGCTACATCAGTATTTCAACAACTTTTGTAGGCTTATGCTTTACACATCTCATGGTTTATTTTTTTTTTGTTTGAGGGCAATCTTTTACTTCAAGTAGTTGCTTATAACTTATATGATCTTTCCCCTAGGATCTATCCGCACCACGTACTTCAGTCTAGAAAATAGGCAAAGTTAGTTTGCTTGAAAAGCTTTCTATGCACTTAGGGTTCTCTCCAGTGATTGGCTTGTGACCTTAAGCAAAGATATTGCGTATAATGTTGAGTTATAATTCTTTAAAGCTAACACTTGATGGTGCTTTACAAAAATTTTGGGAGGAAGATTATACGAAAAAAGACGCTCACATAAGTTCATCATGACTTCGATATCTATTTTGATCAATATAAAGAATAAATTGTAGCCGCATGGACTATAAGTGTGGTTCTATTTTTTTACGTTATTTCATAACTGAATGATTCATCTATATCATAGAAGAATGATCCAATAAAGTCAAGAATCCACCCTAGACGACCTAAGATTTACCTCGCTTATCGATCTGTAAGACCCATGGTTGTACATATAGGAGTAAATGTGAGTATATCTAAATTGTGACTAAGTTTATCTTTGTTATGACTATATTTAGTTAGTTATGGTTAAGTTGTAGGAAAATATAGAGTAGATCCTGGTGTGATAGATGAGAACAACTATTTTTTTGTTTAGTAAGAATCAAAGAACAGATTCCATCACATGGGTGTCTTGACTTTCCTTGACTTGGACTAGTTTTCATTGGTTTGACTTGGTAAGAACACTTAAATCTAGGGTCAAGATTGACTTGGTACACCAAAGTTAATTGGATGGTAGTTGGGCTTCTAGAAGATCCAAGTGGACCAATTACATGTTGTCATATACCTTTTTCATTTGGATTTGTGATCTCTATCTCCATTAAACTTGGTAAGAGAAAGTTACATGATGGATACTTGTAGTTACTATGATAAAATTCTAAGTAGTATAAATATAGAGGTTTAGAAGCACCTCTCAAGTTAATTTTCGGAGAAGTTAGTTTTTTTATCTTAGTTTTGGAGAGATCTTGTTTTGGGAAGCTTGGTTTTGGAGAAGTCATGTTCGGGTTGAAGCCTTGATTCAATGAAGACTTTGAACATCAATAAAGGATTTCTTCCTTTTGAGTGATACTTGACTCTTTGTGAGAGTTCTCATTATGGAGTTCGGATTTGAGAGTTTGTGTAAGAGGGTGCATTAGGGCTATGGTTATAGGGTTGGAACATGCACTTCTAGATTCATGATGAGATTTCAAAAAGCCATCGGAGGTAAACCTGTGTGAAAGTCATCCCGGGGATCACAGATCTAGGCTACTGCTCAACGAACCGTACGAGATAGTGGCCCATCACACGGCTCTCTAACCTAATTTTCTTCAGAGTTTCTTCAAACACGGAAGGGCACCCCCCATCTCCCCTCCCCTATTACACGGTCCTTGGAAGATGGCTTGATAGACTATGTCAAAGTGAATCTTGCCAAACAGGAACCAGTGAGTAAGTAATAGGCTCCTTCCCTACTGCTTGTTATCAAGTGCTTTCCTATTGCTAGGTCCTTTCAATTTGGTGGGGACCCTCTGACTTCCTATGATAGAGGCATCCCTAGCCACTATGTGTGCTTCTTTGGCTTTATGGGGTCTCACCGTTGTTTCTTGTGCAGCTTGTCCAATCTAGTGGACGCCTTGAAAGAAGATGTAGTTTAGTTCCCTTTTTCCTAGTGATATAGGAGAGCAATCACGTTTGGTGATGCTTTTTCGGATGCTCCTGTTGTTTGTAGACCTTTAGACTTGGATAGTTCAGATATCTTAGGTGTTGTATGACATATTTCCCAGTGTGATACTATTAGGGTGTAGACCTTTAGACTTGGATAGTTCAGATATCTTAGGTGCTGTATGACATATTTCCCAGTGTGATACTATTGGGGCCTAGCCCCATGTTACGGGTTTGGTTCCATCCTTGTACGATTTGACGTGATCTTCCCATCCCTTTTGTTATTATACTTTCTGGGATTCCTTTTCCTAGTGATATAGGTAATCCATTACATTAGGACTACCACTTCCGTGATAAGGGTAGGGCCCGCCCACCTCTTTGGTCTTGTTGCGCACCATCCTCAAAAGACATATAGTGAACCGTGTACGTTCGCGTGCACTGCAAAATGGAGGTTCAATGGTCCAAGGTTAGCCATTGGGTGTAATTTTCGGAACTCCTATTTGCCAGTATGGATCCGCATCTTCAAACACAAGATTAGACTTGCCTCCTGCTATTCGGTCATCCCTTTCAAGATGAGGGAAATCCTGGAGTTTTTTTCACATGCTAAGGTCTCCCTTGCCGAACCCGGATAAGCAAAATGCCTTAGTACATCGTAAACTTGTACTTTTATCGTGCAGGACCGGTCAGCCTAGCACTAAACCAGGCTCGTACCTCCTCCCCATACATAGTAATCCCCGTAGCTTATAATATGATTTCTGAATTGAGCGCGCTTCGCGTTTTGCTTCAACGTAGATTATTTCTTCATCAATCAAGCAGTCATGTTGCTTGATCGCTTTGCCCCTATGTGCAGTTTCGTTTCTTTGCAACTTAAGCACACAATATTCAAATTTTTTTTATTCTCTGTCGTCAACTACCTATGATGGTTAATCAAATTATTATCGGCTGTCGAATTCCACCTTATTTTCATATTTAGGCTATTTATTACAAATAAGGATGATTGGAACGTTTTTATCTTTGAGAAAAAAACTGACCTATACTTTTGATTCAAGCTTATATCTTTGTCCATCCAATATCACATTTATAAGGTAAGCCTCATGTCCATTTAGTTCATCTGTGAGCCAAAGGCCATACCTATTGTGCACGTTGTAATAGTCGTTTTGAAAAAAAAATGAAAATGGCCTTATGCAACAAAACTTTGAAGATATCAAAAAACAATATCCATATATTCTTTTATTTCATTGTAGTGGCTTGACCAGTCGACAATGGCGACAAATCAAGAATATATTGTGTGCCATTAAAGATAAAACTTTATTTAAACTAAATAAGAAGAAACAAAATATTCTGCCAAACAATCAGGGCGATTGGATTGCACAGCTTGCTTCTAGCGCAGGTCCTACTTGTATCTTATACTTGACTAAAGAAGCACCAAACAAAATATGGTCACAATTGCTACCTTCAGCCTCCTACAGCCAAAATTTAGTTTTATTATATGGACAAGACAGATCCACTGTTTTCAATCATATGGATATAAAATATGGGTGAATATCCCAAACGGATTTTCAGAATACTCGCTCCCCCTTTTCTTGACGACGCATTAACTTTATTAATATTTAGATTTTCCATAGGTAGTAGGACTTTAAATTTTTTTATGATAATTCATCATTTTTATGATGTTTTTAAAAGATGCACATTATTGAACTTGAAGCAATAACCAGTAATAAAGTAGTATATCTATTTTTATCTATAAAAAGGTAAACACTATGGATTTTCAATCCATCGTGTTTACCTTTTTCACCAAATGCGCAAAAGAGCGGAGACAAAAATAAATATATTACTTTAGCCCTTTCAGTTTTGTTTGTCTCGCTGTGTGCTTGCCAACATCTGCTAAAGCGTAGAGCCTCACTTTATGGCTCCATGGCTAATACCTTCTAAGCTATATATTTTACGTATCCCGAAGCAAGCTTATTTTCTCCTTCGTAATCCAACTGTAATTTGATGACGCGAAATCAAACCGTAATTAGAGTACGAGACATTAATTATTATGTAAATTTATTATTCAATTTTTATTCCTTAATATATGATTATACATGAAAAGGAGATCATCTTATCGCGGAACGATTCCCTTAGCCATACGCTAAAAAATGGCCAAAAAAAGTGTATGCGTGATCAAAATAAACTAGACCAACCTTACTAAATCAA